ATAACACGTGTCACTTAACGGGCATAACTAATGCTGTTAACGGTCCATACCAAAAAATATATATACACTTATTTGGGGGGAAAAGTATACTTTAGACTCTTATTTTGAGATTAAGCCGTAAACAAATGTGAAATTTGGGTGAGAAATAGGGAGAAAGTGTGTTTTGTATTGTATTAAATGTTTTTAAAATCGGACCGGACTTTAAATCGGTTTATATAAAATAATATTTTTTTAAAATTTTACATAATATTAAAAGTAATATTAATATATATATATATATAACATTATTTTTAAGTTCACAATATTAATAGGTATAAAAATATCACAAGTCATAACATATATAAGTTAAATATCATAAAATCAAGTGAAACAAAATGATTCAAATCAACTACAACATAATATTTAAGGTCAATACCTAATGAAATTCATCAACAACTAATTAATAAAAGTATATAATTGATACAAGTATTAATCATCATAATTAGAAAATAAATTTGGGGCTAAAAAAATCATAACAAACGACGTCGTTTGATTTAATTTTTTTAATAAAAAAAATAGAACCGGTGAACCGGTTGAACCGGCCTGTTCACACTGATTTTACCGGTTTTTGACTGATTTGTTACAAAATTAGTTTTATAGGGTGACCGGACCGAATAGACAACTGATTTACGGTTCAATCGGTCGAACAGACCGATCCAATCTGATTTTCGTAACACTGATTATATTTGTCCTATTTTAAAACTAACGATTGATTTACAAAATTTCCAACTTCAAATTTCAGAATATTTTAATTAATTCCTTAATGCAGCATTATTGTATCAATCATTATCTTTTTAATAGTAATTAATTTAGGCAGGCTCAAAATGTTCACACATATATGACTCGTATATATCTACGGGCGATCGGTTCATAGAATATAAGATTATATTTAGAAATAATATTATCGGAATGTAACTTTACTATGAAAATGTTGTATTAGTTTATTTGATTTGTTTAGTAGGAATATAAAATTACAGTGTTTGGTTGGAGGAATATAAGAGTACTTGATTGTAAATTTTACCAAATTATCCTTGTGGTATATATTTTTAAATTTAAACTTTAATATTAAATTATAAATATTTGAATAAAAATTCATAGAAATATTTTAATCTTTATACTAACTTTTGAGAAAAATATATTTAATATATAATTAGTGTATTAAACTTATATTTTTAAATAATTTTCATAAGCATCATATTTATTTATATAAAATATAATATAATATAAAAAATAACATTATTATCTCGAATGAACAATGATATTATTTTTCAATGTATAAGATCTATTTTTTTTAAAAAATAACTTTAAATTAGAGATTATTTTAAATAATCATATTTTACAATCATATTATTTTTTACCTCATAAAATTATAAATTTTTAATATATTGAATATTAAAATATAAAATAATTTTAAATACTCAAATTTATTAATATTTCACTAAATTAAACTCTTTATATATTATTATTATATTTATAATTTTGAGTAAATCATAAAAAAAAGAATTGAAGAGGATAATGATTAAAAGATTTGATTAATATAAGGGTATTCTTATCCAAAGGGGTGAGAATTGTCTAATACCTAAGAATTTGGAAGTAATGACATTCTCACCATTTTAACAAAAAAATACTACTATTGGGAAAAGATTATTCCTTCTATGAATCAAACATGGAAATGCAATTCCATAAAATATTATTCCTCTTGGTAATGTTCTTTTCTGCGAATCAAATGACCCCTTATGGTTGTTTGGTTCTTGCCTTATGGAATGTAAGATTAGGGATGGTAATATATCGAGTTAGAATAAGTTTTTTATCAACCTAACCCAACCTAAAAATATGTATCCTCCACCTAAATTTGATCTGACCTAAAAATTTTATATCATCCACCGAATCTGTCTCGACTCGAAAAATATATATCTTCAATCGAATCCAACTCAACCCGATTTTTTAAAGTATAAGTCTGACCCGACCCGATATAAAATAAGAATTTAATTAAAAAATAATATTCTCTTCGTCCCACGAAAATGTCCCTTATTGACTTATTAAATTCAAAATTTTAAATTTTGATCATGATTATTTAAAATATTTAAAATAATTAAATTTTATAAAATATATATTCGAAAATTACTTGGTTGAAGGTTTTTAAAATATATTTTTACATATTTTTATCAATAATAAATTTAAATAATAACTAGTCAATGTTTAAAAAAATTGACTAAAAAAGTCAATAATAGACATGTTTTATGAGACATATGGAGTAAATTTTTTAACGAGTTATTATTCTCGGGTCGGATTAGGTCAGAGTTTTTTCACCCTCCACCCGAGCTCTACCTGACTCAACTTCGTGCCTTAAAAAATATAACACGGTCCGACCCGAACCTGATTTTTTTATAAAATATTCTATCCTATCAAGTTGGGTCGGGTCAAAACCCGTCAGATTCGGGTTAGATTGTCATCTCTATGTAAGATTACCTTTGGGAATGAGATTACCGAAATCTTAAATTGCGTGTTTAGTTGAAGAAATATAAAATAAGAAAAATGTATGTTTGATCAAATTATCCTTGGGATATATTTTTTTAACAAATTGAATTCTCAATATTAAAGTTAAAATATTTACATAAAAGTTAATATAAAATATAATTTTCTATTATTTCTAATTTTAATATTTTTCAATAAATTTTGCACACAAATAATTTAATATATTTTTAGTTTTTATTTAAAAATATTTAACATATTTACATCAATATAATTATGATTTATATTTAGATATTAAAATATTGAAAGATGTACATATTTAAACCCGTGTAAGTATATATTTATTTTTAGGTTGGGAGATGTACATACTTACACCGTTGTAAGTATGTGTTAATTGATATATTTCTTTTTATTTATGCTATATGCAGGGCTTGCTCTAGGGGAGCACCCCGAACAATCACTTAGAATCCCCAATTTTTATATTTATAATTAAGCCCCTAATTTCTTATAATTTCATAAATTTTTTAGTTTTTACCCTCATTTTCCATTTCTCTTATTAATTCATTCAATTTTGAATTAAATTTAATCATTTTTATATTAATAATTAGTACCCCTAATTTTTATAATTTCATAAAATATTTAGTTTTTGACACTCTTTTTCCATTTCTCTTATTTATTCATTCAATTTTGAATTAAATCTAATAATTTTTTCTCTTTTTTCAAATCTTACTAATCAATTTATCAAATACCCTTTAATTTTTAGTCTTCTTCAATCTAAATCTAACAATAAATTAATATATAATTTATTTATTTATTATTCAAAATCAAGCTATGTATCGTACATGCATTCAATTTTTTTTATATTTATTCCCTTTTAGTTGTATCTAATGTGTTTACTTAATAAAATAATAAAAATAATATATTTTCACAAAATTTAATCAATTTTCTATAACTTATTTATGTAATATTAAATTAATTGTTCAAAGTAATGAAAAATACATTAATTTTATAAAGATATATTTTTGAGTTTTCGCTCGAGGCCCTGAAAATGTATGAGACAGCTCTGGCTACATGTATGAGTTGTACAACAAAACATCATATCAAATTATATGACAAAACTAATAGAAAATATTAAAAAATATAATATAAAAACCTTTTATGAAAATTAATCCTAAATAATACATGTAATAAAATATATACAAAAAACACATACATAAAAATAATCAAACTAAAATAAAATTTTGATATATTTTTATTTTACTTCTTATTTTATATGCATCATATTATTTTATAATAAGTATTAAAAAAATTCATGAATCATTAAAAATAAATAAACTAGATTTGTACCCGTATAATTATATACAAAATGAATGATCGTTTTGAAATAATTATATTATTCAAGAGTATTATTATCCAAAGATGAGTGAATTATCTAATACCTAAGAAAATGGAAGATTGAGATTCCCGAGAATGCAAGGTAAAAAAGCACCGTATGTAATGTTTCATTACCTCCCGGTAGGAATGTTTTTGAACAAATGTGAGTATATGATTCTTGAAAAAAATTATTTTCCTTAATAACGATCTTTTCCTTAATCCAAATGCGGCTTTAATGTTTAAATGTGTGCAATATACATCAAACTTGATTTTATTCTTTGAATAGTGACAGAACTACCTTGGTCCCAGGGGATCATTCCCCCCCCCCCCCCAAAAAAAAAAAACCAGCACTATTATTTTCAAAAAATTATATGGATAAATCATGCTTTATTCCTTATTTTTTATAATTAATTATATTTTACCCCTCATTTTTTATAGTTAACTATACTTTGGCCCCTTAAACTAGAATCCTAGCTCCTACCCTATGTTTGAATATGTGTAATGTATTATTTGGTTACATATTATTCATGGTGCTTAATATGCTTGGTGATGTTGATTAATGACAAAGTTGCAAACGTGTGTAAACTTCGTTTAAGGTCATTAATGTTGTATTTGACGTGTCGTATAGGATGTGTTTGAAAACTTCGTTTAAGGTCATTAATGTTGTATTTGACGTGTCGTATAGGATGTGTTTGAAAGCCGAGAATTGACACACATTTAAACTATTTTCATATTTTGTTTTACTCGTTCATTTATTTATTTTAGATAGACTACTTATTTATTTCTTAAACTATCAATTATTTGTTTTAGTATTTAAATTTTTAATTTTTTTAAAATCATACTTAAAATTTAATTTTTGTTTCATTTTAATACCATCTATTAAAAACTTTAATTTTTGTTTCATTTTAATATCCGTTTAAAATTAAACTTTAAATTTTTTAAAAAATTGAAGGTTAAGATACTAAAACTGATTAATATCATATCCAAATTAATAAACAAATAAATTAGATACCAATGATTATATGAAATAATAATGTTCACGTTGTATGATACAACTTTATATTAAACAAAAAATATGAATGAAAACGGACTACATATCTTATCTAAAACCCAACGTAAAAGACTTATGCAAAAAAATGGGAATTCCAATTATATGGTTATTACAAATGTAAGAACCCCAGTTTTGTGGGTTTAAAAATAAGTCTTTTCCCTCTAATCTTTGTCAATCTGTAGTTGTAAACACCACTGTGATTCGGAATCATGTATGGATGACTTGCGGTACCTGTCTTTCACCGTTACCAGAAAAACTTTGCTCGCAGTCCGCCGCATCCGTCAGCAGAATCGGCTCGCCGATTTTCTGTTAATGCAAGGGGATACCAGTTAATCCAACGAAACCAATGGACAAGACGGCAAAATCACGTGAACGTGAAAGCGCACGCAAGTGTTCAACGAATTCGGTAGTAACAGTGGAGTCTTACCTCATTTAATAAGCAGTCACCTTGTTGTTCAAGTTCACGTATTTGTTGCATTGTCATCCCAAACCATTCATCGATCCAACCGAAACAATTCCGGTGACTTACAATGAAAAGAGCCCTTTCACCCTACATAATTGATAAATGATGTAAAACTGCTGCCCTTTTGTGTGTCAAAAGCGCACCGGACCTTTTCCGAGTGGTCTGCAGTTTAAAGTTTACATCTAAAACTTGAAGTTGAAGAAATTTTACCGCAAGCAACGCTTGCTCAAGTCGATAACCAAAGCCCCAATATGGTGCATCTATCGTCACCAGTTTATATGCCGTCATTACTGGACTGCAATTCTCCTGCAAATATGAACATCACATGTAATCATTGACAAACATATCTCGGTTGAAGATTTTATATGTATCCCAAGAAAGATGTAGTCAGTTAGATCCATTATCGCATCACAGGCTCGATATCTTGCCTATACAAAATCCTAATAAATAGGACAAGAATTCTATTTGTAGTTATGAGTAAGGCTAGTGACTATTGCTTTAGGAGGAGGGAACGAAAGGAGAAAGTCGAGGCAGAGGCAAGCATTACAAAATCCTAATAAATAGGACAAGAATTCTATTTGTAGTTATGAGTAAGGCTAGTGACTATTGCTTTAGGAGGAGGGAACGAAAGGAGAAAGTTGAGGCAGAGGCAAGCATAGGTTCAGTGAAGTCATGATTGAAATTCGAGCAAAAGTGTGGAAAAATCCCAACCTGCCATCCATCCAAAAGCGGACCACGGCCAGCTTTTGAGGATTTGAATTTGGAAAAGTCGAAATTGCTACTTCCGATAGCATAACTCCAACAATCTGTTTCGGATGAAGCGATATCTATGGTTTCTACTTGTCTGGCAGCCAGTTGTTCTTCATTTAAACCATGCACCTATTTGTAAAACTCATAGTTCAGAAATGCAAATATACAAAGAAAAAGAAGCGACAAGAAAGAATAACAGGATATAATGCAGCCTCCCATCGAATCGGAATTCCCAAAACATTTCTAATTACTGATGTCGATGCCAAGATTAGATTTACAAAGAAAGAGCTAAATACAATGACTTTCAAAGAAACAGACATTTTCCGACGTGCCATTGTCCGCCCTATGGATGGTCTCAATTGTGAGAGAGAACTTGGTAAAATATGGGCACTGCAAGAGTACAAGACTTATGAGGGCATAAATTCAAAGGAAATCAAAACATTAGTCATAAAACATCCTGAAAAATGTCCAAGGGAAGCAAAACAGTTACCTTGATCACTGAGAAACATAGGACCCAATTTGTAAACAACAGAAGGAAGAAAAATGTTAATACAACCTGTACAATAAACTCAAGAAAAGCGAAAGAAAACCAAAAAACCAACGTGCCTAAAGTACATTGCAAACCTGTTTTACATCTCGGGTATGCGTTCCATGCTTCCTCTTGTATTACGAGAGCATCAGTCGGTGCAATGCTCGTAAGCCAAGCAGGTGCTTTGCTGCAAACATTAGTACGAAAATAAGAAACACAAGGCAACAACAACAACAGCAACGAAAAAACAAGGTTTCCACTTCCATCTCACACACACACACACAACATATGCATATATACAAACATCCATACATAGGACTTTGGATGGTTCATCAATGTCTACAACAACACTAATACTAAAAAGGTTACAAATAAAGAACTGATTCAATTGACAACATAATCCGGGATGGACCGAGGGGAGCTGGCAGGGGAATAATCCGGGATGGACCGAGGGGCCATACATAGGACTTTGGATGGTTCATCAATGTCTACAACAACACTAATACTAAAAAGGTAACAAATAAAGAACTGATTCAATTGACAACATAATCAGGGATGGACCGAGGGGAGCTGGCAGGGGAATAATCCGGGATGGACCGAGAGGAGCTGGCAGGTGAAATCGTTCCCTATAAATTTCAAATTCTCATATAATTTCGTTATTTTCTTTGTATTTTCTATTGATAATTTGTTTTCAACTTCCTAAAATTTGATAAGTTCACCTCTAGCATAATAAAATATTGTATCCGTCCATGAATATAATAGATAATCTTGAAGCAAAAAGGTAATGAATTTACCTCTGCAGACGATAAACTTTAGAAGTGTATTGACCTTTTCCAAATACATCATCTTGGAAAGGTATGTTCTCCAAGACTTCAACCCCTTCAGCACCATTTGTACTCTGCTGCTGCATCTTCATCACCATGTACATTTGAGATACCTGATACTGCAAATCAAACATGGTGATGGTCAGCCAACAAACAAAGAAAATCACTCAATTTCAATAAACTTCTCAGCTAAAGTATTACCTCGTCCAAAGACATAGGCATCACTATTCGACTTCAGATTTTTCCCATATAAAAAAATCAGAAAGTCAAGGAAAACAAAAAACCAAAACTTTAATTTAAAAAAATCCAGAAAATTGAAGTGTAACCAAAACCCATGTGAGAAAAAATGATACAATTCCTTGAGTTGAACCATCTCTCTTGAATTATCGATCAAACTCCTTTGGAAATCTGCAAACAAACTCAAAAAAAGGGCAAAAAACTGTCTTCTGGAAAAGAGAGAGAGAGAGAGAGAGAGACCGAACAAAGAAGAAGATTAGAGAAGAGAAGCTTTGGAGTTGGGGTTTAGAATGAAAATCAAATCGTTGATGTCGTAGAAAATAAACCCGAGGACCAGTCATAGGATGAGAAAGTTTATTCATTTTGTTATAGGAAAATTATGCAATCATCCTTGTATGCAATCATCCTTGTATATATATAAATATTGGAATTTAGTCCCTGAAATATAATGCACATAGGATGAGAAATAGTCATTTTGGGTTTCTTTACATTTATTATATTATAGGATGAAAAATATATCAAATTATTGTAATAAGCAAAAAAGTAACTATTAAAAGCTAATAATTTTTATAATTTGATGTTTTTTAATTTACATTTATTATATTGATTTGACAATTTTAATAGTTTTAAAAGCTAATGTGGTATTGTAATTGTCATTAAAAAGTTATTATATTAAGGATGATAAATGATCCTTCAACTATAGGATGCTATTTTATTGAGTCCCCTTAAAAGTTATAAAACGGCCCTTTCATTATAAGGTGTTGCTTTGTTGAGCCCTTCGACTATTAAAAGTTACAGAATGATCATCATATTATTCATATGTTTCAAACTCGTTCTTTTTTTTTAAAATTGATGTCAGAATGAGCTTGACATTAAATTATTGACTGAAATATCATACTCGTTTGAAATTTTGGGTTAGATTTTATTATATCATATCCAACATATTAACATCAAACTCAAATCGTCATCGATTTTTTAACGAAAAATGATGAGTTTGAAACATATAAATAGCCCAATGAAAATTTTATAACTTTCAATAGTCGAGAGACTCAACAAAACAATATCTTATAGTCAATGGATTGTTTCATAACTTTTAATAGTAAAAAAACTCTATAAAGCATCATCCTATAGTCGAGGGACCATTTGTATATTTTACCCTTAAATTAATATAAAATAGTTCATGAGTTATATCCGCTATGGAGATTAAAAGAGAAATGGAAAGAAATAGCGAATACACCGAGAAGTAAATAAGCCTTAATGATTAAGTATGAAATTTCATTTTATAGGGCGTGTTAACATAATTTGTCCTTTATTTGATGGCTCCGGAACGACGTCGGATTTTTCGAGGAAAGAGAAAGTGAAAGTACAACGTGGATGCCGACCGTTGACTTTTTTGTTTTTGTGTGTTTGGTCGGCTTGAACTGGATTACCGATATTAATTATCAAGCATGTGAGTAAAACCAGAAAGGTATGCTATTATTTATTTTTGGCTTCTTTATAAAACTAAAACAATTAATTAAAAGTAGATTTATAAAATTTAATGTTAATTATTTTATCATTTTATTAACTTTTAATGGTTTTATAAATCTATGATTTTTAGTAATTGAGATATATTTATTTTATAAATTTTTAGTATTGTTTTAAGCTTTTCACGTAGAAAATATAAAATAACTGATGTTAGAATTAATAAAAAATATATATATATATTGACAAGGGAAAGTCAAGAGAGGAATTTTCCAATTTCGGAACTTCAATTCCAAGATTCCATTTTTTGATCATTATTGAAAACAAATCCTTTTTTTTTTTTGTGGATACGATAGTCTTAATATACAGTTAAAGAAATGTCTTATCAGAAATATTAATATTTCTAGTAAAATACTATCTAAAATATTATTTTTTTATCGGAAATATTAATTTCACTAACTAATTTTCGGTAGAATTTAATATTAACATTTCTGATAGAAAAAAATAATATTTTAAGTAACGCTATACCAGAAATGTTAAATATTTTAAATAACATCAAATATTAATATTTTTAATAAAAAATAATATTTTAATAACATTTTATCAAAAATATTAATATTTTCAATAGTACCGCTGCCATACTGTGGAAGCTTCCTACAAGAAATCAAAAGAGTAATATTCAACACCATTAAGGCCGCCAAAAGGATAAAGCATTGTTCGGTCAAGGCTGTAAAGCGAAAATCAATAACAAATTAATGCCCGCCAACCAAAGGAAGCAAATTACACTATTTTTAAAAAGAGGTAAAATACACAAATAGTTCCCGACTAGAAGATATTATTTTGTTGAATATTATTATTATTAAAAGTTACAAAATCATCCTTTTACTAGAGGACATTACTTTGTTGAGTCTATTGCCTATTAAAAATTATAAAATAGTCACTTGATTATTCATATGTTCCAAACTTGTCATTTTGTACTAAAAATTAATGACCATTTGAGGTGGACGTTAACCTATTGATTGGAATATGATAAAATCATATTTTAATGATCTTTATTGGCACCATCGTTGCTTTCAAACATTGACTCGACAACACAATATTTTAAGCATTGGGCTAACAACATAATATAAATACAACTCAAACAATTATGAGATCATATTTTATTATATCTTAGGAAGCATATCAATGTCCAGCTCAGGCGATCGTAATTTTTTTTAAACAAAAAATAACATGTTTTGAACACATGAATAGTTGAATGACTATTTTGTAACTTTTAATAGTTAGAGTACTCAACAAAGCATTGTCTTATAGTCAGGGGATCATTTTGTAACTTTTAATGGTCAAGAAAATCAACAAAACAACGCTGTAATACCCCAAATTTTTGTTAGTGACCAAAACATAAAATTTTGAAAATTTAGTATCAAAGTATAAATTTCCCCAAAAGGAATTTTTATTCCATAATTGAATAATTCACCCCAAGAATGACGTTTTGGTGAGAATCATATTTCTGATCCAGAATTTATGTTAAAAGCTATAAAGTGTTGAAGTTCGGTAAAAATTGGTAAATTGGATCGAATAGAAATTTTGAGAAATTTTGAAAGATGATAAATTAAGTTTAAAAATATTATTTCCATGTTTAATTTGGATTGTTGAATGAATTTGGCAAGATTGAAATTTTTGGAAAAATGCATGGGCAAAGTTGTAAAGGGTGAAATAATTTGTTCATCTTTGACTTTAGAAAGATGATAAATGTTATGTGGCTTGGTATGGTGGTAATTATCAAGTTTCATTAATGGTAAATTTGTCATTTCCCAATTATATGAATTTTAAATTCATTTAAGCTAATGATAAATTAACATGAAATTAAGTAGAAATTTCATGGAACCTTGATCTTCTTCATACTTTATGGTAGTGTACCCCGAACCCTAGGTAAGAGAAATTTCATGAAAATTGTTCTATTTGATGAGCTATATCATTTGGTACCAATATTGTTTGCTAATCTTTCTTGAGTTCAAAGATCCTAAATTTTAGGGTTTATGAACATTTTAGGGTTTTAAGAAATGATGATGGATTTTGAGGTTATTGATATTGTAGAATCATTTTCAAGCTTGATTATTGATTAAAATCACCTATATATGCTTATTGAAGGTTCAACCTAACCCTAAGTTTGGGGGAAATTGTGATTTAATTAAATTAGGTTAGGGGTTTGATTTTAGAAATCTTGAAATGTTGTTTAGAAGTGAAATTCATGTTTGATTCAAGTGAAAAACATGGAATTTCAACCCATATAGTGTTCGACCTTGAGGAAAAAATAGGGAAAAATTTCCCATGGCTTAGAAATGATGTTTGGAAGGTTCTACAAGCCTTATAAAAATTTTGTGACTATTTTGTAATTTAGTGAAAGTTGGGGGACCTATTCAGTAATTTTAAAAAGTTATGGGGTAAATGCATAATTACCCAATAGTTTATATATGTTGCTAGAATTTTATATTAAAGGGCTAAAATTGATTTTAGAATGTGAAATTGAATTATGTTGGGAACTTAACCAAGTTTGAGTAGCAAATAGTAAATATTGAAAAAGTTAGTGACTTAAGTGGTCATAATGACATTGTTGAGGGATTGGGATGGAAATTAGATGCTGAAAATTTTATTAAGTTGTTTGAGACTTGAATTGAAGAAATAATGGCAAGGGACCTTTATGAGTAAAAAGGAAAAGTTGAGATGAATTCTAGAAAAATCTGTAAATAGTAATACTTTTGAGATTATTATTGTGTATAAAATGTTAGTAAAAACACTAACATGTATTTTATATTTGTATGTTCTATGTATTTATGCTTTTGTAGATCGTGATCAAACTCGAGATACAAGCAAATTAAAAGGCGAGGAAAAAGTTCAAGAGTAATTGGATATCGATAGTAAGGCATAATAGTGAGGCATACCAGGTGAGCGCATTTATTATGTACTTATATGATATGAGGAAGACTTGCGATGAGTCATCCTTGAATGATTTTTAATAAGCATGTGTTTAACATATTTTGTGATATTTTCATAAAGTTTTATGAAAATGATATTTATGAATGATTTTAGGGTATGAACTTCCCTAAAATAAATAGATGTATATCACATTATTTAACATATATTGTTATTTCATCATAAAGTGTTTAATATGTGATTTGGATATAATAGCCTATTGTATGTGCATTGAGAGTCATAGGTGCAATTGTTATACCTTGAATAAGGTTGTTATCGATCGATTTTGTTTAATGCATTATTGTGTTCCTGTAGTAGTACATTTGTTGCACTATGACACTATGTGTGCAAGGATGGTGTTAATAATGAGTTAAGTTATGTATTACTACTCCGAAATTATTAGTATAATGTCGATGTTTAATACAATACATATACGTCATTGTAGCACTTAGGTGAGAATTGTGTATATTGTATTCTTATCTGTCATACATTGGGCTGTGAATGGATTTTGAATTCACCAGTTGATAAGTATGCTATGCATATGAAATAATATTTCGCATGTTATGTAACAGAAACTTGGCTTATCAAGTTAGTTTTTTTCGTATATATTTTATACGACTTAAACCATATTTTGATCTTTCATGATTGACTTATGTTTTAAATGCCTTACTTATTTTATTATGCCTCACTAAGTGACTACTTAGTGTGTGATTGTTTCACGCGTAGATTTTAAAGTACGATCAGAGTGAAGAGTGCAACTGATATTTTCTTTCAAGGGTTGCCTTATCAATAACATTATGATATCTCTCGATGTTCTTTT